CAACTTGAAATGCTCCCAAAAATGGCTCCACAGCATGTAAACATATAATATAAGCTCTGGCGGACTTGGTTCTATGGTCTTAAAGGGTTAATAATGAGTTCACTCATTTACAAACAAGTTTTTAGGAAAACTCCAGTTAAAAATGAAGATTTCTGAGTACTGGTTTCCAAATGCTGCGTCACACATGTTGACTTGAACATCATATAGATTCTATAATAGTTTAAGAATATACTTGTGGCGACGCTGCCATCCTCAGAGTGAACGATGGGCCTGAAGTCAGGGTTTGTAACATGAATCAAACTGGTGGTCTGTTAGAGGGTCGGGGTTTCTCACCTTACAGATGTTATAATGTTCAAACAAGGACAGCAGGCCGACGTCACAGTGACCTTTGACCCCTTTAAGCAGAGTCATGTTGCCGTTGCCCGAGTCCAGCTCCACGTCATCATCAAACACATTGGAAACTGCTCTGCCGCACAGCAACAGGTTGACCAGCTCCTGGTGAGAAAACACACAGTTATCACTGTGTCGTGTTTCTGTGCGTTACCACCTGTAAAGCTTAGACGGCGTGGCGTGTACTGTCAACACGTATGTTCAAAAACAACAAAGACAACATGAAGAAATGTTCCTGTAACAGTAAACGGCGCTGAGCGAGCGGCCGAGCGTTTCATTGCTTTTTCACTGCTCAGTTAAAGAGTATTGTTGAGGATTTAGTGACACCTAGAGGCGAATCTTCCAAACTAAACTTTAAAGACACCTGATGTCGCAGCATCACAGCATCCAACTAGCACAATACCTGTGTGCAGTACCCATGGGCTCCAATCAGCGTGGTGGTGGGCACATCCATATCTTCCTGCACTCTAAACAAAGAAGAAGCACATCATAGTTGTTTCACAGTCTGGTTCCAGCAACTTTATTCTGCATAAAAGATGTTTTCAAAAAAAGTACTTTTGAATGGATCGCGAGAGAACAGCAGACACGGTCAGCAGCACGCAGCCCAACATCCCAGGTTCAAACTGTGGGGAAAAACAGATAAAAAGGAAAGTGGATGATAAAGTTTTGTGCCCTCAGAGGGAAAAGGAGAAGAAACTTCTCTCACTTGCTCAACATGCTGCTCAAGGATCAACTCCAGATCTTTGAGGTTCTCCACAGTCAAACAGGTGATCTAGAACAAAGACGAGTCGTAAAACTTCAGCAGAACAAAGCACAAAGTTTCCTGGTTATGGCTGTTTGACAAATATCATTTTATGAACCTCACCAGTTATCTCACATTCACTCTGATTAGCTTCAGTGCAAATATAAAACACGTGTACCTTTTCAAGCACCCCCTCAGATCTGTAGGGTCGAGCTGCGATGAACTGATTTCTCCCTGAATTTCTGTTTCGAAACAACAAAATCACAGCAACACCGTCAAAAACGTAGCGACGCGAGACTCACACCAACGCACTTCTTAACATCTGTATCTGCAGATATCACACCAATAAAACGGTTGTGTGCATCAGTAAAACTGGAGAGCTCACATTGCAACCGTGGCTTGTTTTTCCTCGCCAGCCCTCCACAAGATCTCAGCCAGAGCTAAAACGAGACACTTTCTCCTGATGCTGTTGGACGGTCTTAACCTCCTGAAGGGGGAAAAAAATCTCATGTGAGTGAGAAGCGGCCGTCTCTGGTAATAACACGGTTGAAACTGAAATACAGAAGTCACCTGCTGAATATCATTCCCTCGTGTGAAGTAACAGCTTTAGAAAGTGACTGGAATAAAGTGCTCGGAGGTTCATACCATGAACTAAAGGGTGACTTACTGCAGGCCCACGGTACAGCTCTCAGTGCTTTCAAACAGCAGTTTCTTAAGAACAAAGGCTTGAACAGACGCCAGAACTCCACACGGACCTCCCTTAAAAATTCAAAGCCACAATTAAATAAAGTCTGTGAAAATATAAACAATTTAAGCATCCGGCTTGATTAAAATCACCTTTCTCTGCACAATCCCATATCGGAGGTCATGCGTGTCTGAGAACGTGAAGCCCTGATTCCTCCACTCAATATTGAAGCAATTTAGGCTGGAACCAAGAAGAAGTGTTTTTAATTCCTAGAGGGAATAAACGGAAAACAAAGACATAATCAAAGGCAACTGCAGAAAGTCTGCGCAGCAGTTTGAGAGAAACCCTGGTGTGAATCACCCACCGTGGCAGTGCGCTGGTCCATCGGCCGACCGGCGAGGCTGCGTTCGGGTAAGGTTCCCCGCAGAGGGGCGTCACAGAGTTCTCGCAGGTCGTCATCATAGTCCTCGATGTCATCTAAAAAAGTAACACAAATATATCCGTGAAAATCAAACGTTAGGCACCGATTTGTTTTCAAAGGGCGAGAAACAATCAGTGAAGCCCCGGACCGCACAGACAGAAAGTATTTACCCTAAAATAAACTTTACGATTAGATGAAGACAGACCAATGCCGCTTTTAAACAATGAGTTCACTTTTAATGGGAAAAGATTATCCAAACCTTAAACTAATAACTGGTTGTGCCACAAACAGGAATTTTGGCAGAATTGCTTCAATCCAGTCTCAATGGGGGCTTTTTTTTGCCCCTTTTTGTTTAAAGTAAAAGTTTTTGTAAAAGTACGAGTATTTGTTTTGCTGCCGGTGTGCTTCAGGGCTTTGTGCACTTGAGCTTCACAAACAAACGTATGATTAAACATTCTCCTTCTGGATTTTATAGCAGAGAGCAGAATTCGTGGTTCCATCAATTACATCAGTCATTCGGGTCTCAAAGCAGCGAGGCAGCCATCTAACTAATACTACTGACTCATCAGGGAGAGTCAGGGTGTGGCTGCTGACATCCACCTCAGCTTTAACCACAGGTAATTCATGAATAAAGAAGGTTTGGATAACTTTTAAAATCTGCGCTTTGTATTTACTCGGTTATCACGCTCTAAGGTTTGTTTGGTTTTCTGAATGCTTAGGTGACAAATCTGCAAAAGAAATCAATAAATCAATAATCAGAAAGGGACAAACACTTTTTAACAGCCCTGTACTGCACAGCACTTACCCAAGACCATCGCAGACGCATCCAGATCAGCCACACTCGGCCTGGTCTTTGCTCTAAAAAGGAAAACAACGTGTAAATATTGAGAACAAAGCCTGGGAAAGCACGAAGCCATTACTTATTATGTGGAGTCAAACAACTTAAAGCTATTTTACTTTGTTGTCGTCACCATGTTCAGTCTCACTCGTTCAAAGCTGTTTTCACTCGGTGTTCTCTGTGAAACACTCGGCGCCTCGCGGCCCCCTCGTACACAGTCAGCTGAGCCGATTCCACTTCTGCTGCCTTGTAAACCTCCAGTCACTAAACGTCCATCCTGAGTGGGTCTGGTTTCCTCTTCTCCTCTGAGCAGTGGCTGGGACACCTTTCGACTGTTACGTTTTCTGTTTGATTCCTGAAAGGAGAAAGTGAAGGATTAACAGCAGATCAGCACGCAATCACATATGTTTTTAGGCATAAAAGCTTTAGTACCTGGGGTACCGGTCCAGCCAATATGCCTCTCCTAATGCGATTAGTTCTGCTCCTTTGGGTGGTCTCAGAGGTGTTTTTTTCTGGTTCTTTTTGGATTAAGCTCGTCTTGTCTTGGAGGGAATCCATCGCTGGATGGTCTTTTTGAACTCCTAAGTCAGGACCCCAGAAACCTGTCTGACTATTACTGGACTTTCTATCGTTTGCTGGCATCAGTGAAGCATTTGTAGCTTGAGAAGGAAATGTTGCTGTTATATCAAGCCTGTGAAAGAGAACAGCATATTCATTTAAGCACATTATTACAAAAGAAAAGAAAGTAAAATCAGTAGAAAATAATGCCTCACAAACGCTGCCTGTAAAATACCTCGATCTGGTCTGTTTGCTTGGAACAGAAGCCGGGGTGCTGTCCTCCTCTCCTCCATTATCCATCGGACTAGTTTGGGCTCTCCGTGGGGAAACCTCACTGCTCACTGGTTTCTCATTCTTCACTTGTTCAATGAGATGCTTTACAATAACCTCCAGTAATGTTTTCAGAGGGTTATTGTGAAGCTGCAGTGACAGAGAGATCAGCTACACACGTTACCTGTTGTGCACCACAGCAGTCACCTTGCAGCTTGAACACTTACCTTGTTCTTCCTGTAGAGATCGTCAATGCTGAGGATCTGCCTCAGCTCCGACCTGTTATTGATACTGGCCTCTGTGCGTGGATGCTCCTCATCCATGCAGGCAATGGTCCTCTTGAGCCCCTGAACAACATTTCCAACAAAAACAAACAAACTGGGAATTA